ATGATGATGGTGATGATGATGGTGATGATAATATAGTGATGAGGATGGTTATGATGATGGTGATTGTAATGATGATGATGATGATGGTAATGATGATGGCGATGGTAATGATGATGGTGATGGTAATGATGATGGTGATGATGATGGTGATGATAATAAAGTGATGAGGATGGTTATGATGATGATGATGATGGTCTGTAATAGGATAACGATGAAACATGATGATGATGGTGTTGATGGAGGGCTGAAGCCCCCCCCCCCCCCTTTCAGCAGAAAAAAACAAGCTTTTTTATATTGTTTTCCGTTGTGTTGACGGAAGAAACTCAATTAGCCCCCCCCCCCCCTAAAAGTTTGGCTGGATCCGCCCTTGGATAAAAGTGATAGATTTCATTTTCGCTTGAACGCTGTCAGCTCTAAAGTCCTAGATAGTTTTAGTGACTGTGGCTTCTTAAATACGTTTACATACGGGCATCTAATTGGACCTAAAGAGCTGATTCATGAAATATTCCGTATCATCATCCTGATGCATGATGATGATGGCGATACATGATGATGATGGCGATACATGATGATGATGGCGATACATGATGATGATGGCGATACATGATGATGATGATAGTAATCACGATGAAGATACTTGATATTGTTGATGGAGATGGTGATCGTAATAATGGTAATGATGGTGATGATGATAAATGAAAGTGTCTTAATTTATACCTTTTTTCTAACAGTCCAATTGCAAATTCGAATGTTGTCATAACTCGAGCTGCAACGTTCCGAAAATCGATGAAACATCATGTAAGTAAAAACTAAATGTTACTAAATGAATCATAAGCTGCTTATGTTGTTGATGACAGGAGCAATGATGATGGTGATGATGACGATGATTATAATGGTGATAAAGATCATCACACCCGCATGTTCTATAAGGGGTGTACGCCGGTCAATAAATGCAGGATGATGTTGGTGGTGATGATGATGACAATGATGACGATGATGATGATGACGACAATGATGACGACGACGATGATGATGATGATGGTGATGGCGACAATGATAACGACGATGATGATGCTGATGATAGTAACAATAATGACGACGATGATGATGATGGTGATGATGATGATGGTGATGATGGTGACAATGATGACGACGATGATGTTGGTGCAGGTGATTCATGATGGTAGTGATGGTAATGGAGATGATATATAATGGTGGTGAAGTAGATGATAATGATCAGATGGTAATGATGGTAGCGATGATAATGATGGTAGCGATGGTAATGATTATTGTTGATAGTGATGATTAATGATAACTACGCTGAAAATGATGGTGATGATAGCCTCACTCACTTTACATCGAGAGATAACACTCACCTCGTTTCCCTTTTCTATTTCTTCCTTCACCTCAATTTCTCTTTCAGCTAAGTCCAACATCAAGTGCTACAAATGCTCCTCTAAGAGATCTCTCCAAGACTGCAAAGACAGAAAAATTTTACAAACTTGCAGCGATAACGAAGATCGTTGCTATGATGCACAGGTTATCACAGACCACAAGAACGATGAAGGAGTTCCACGCATGTTCTATAAGGGGTGTACGCCGGTCAATAAATGCAATAGCACGACTCTTGATGTCTGTAAACGTCACATCAAGTCAACTAGTTGTACTGTTAAATGCTGCACTGGAGATGGATGTAATGCAGGCTCATCTCTTCTGGTCAGCAGATTTGCTTTCATGGCATGCGTGTCGATTTACGTATATTTATGTATTGGGCTATCTGTGTGAACAACCGAAGGATGATTTTTTCCCCTCTCTTTTACAATCAATTAATTTTAAAAAATATTATCAAAAAGAGGGAAAATAAGTGAGCTTTGGTTTAAAATATTTACATTTTTTCCCCCGAAGGCCAAATTTTTATTTTAGGGTGCTTTCCATTAAATCGAACCAATCGGTCCGAATGGCCGGTTCTCAAATGGTACGCCTCAGTTCTCAGAACTAGATCAACGCGGCCCGAACTAGTACTATTTGAGAACTCGACGCAATGGAACATATCAAACATTGAGTGTCGTATTTCCCTGTGTCTGTTGTCTGCGATGCAGATCCACGAGTTAGCATCGTCTCTTTATCCTTCCTCGATTTTCCAAAGTTTTTTCTTTTTTTACTTGTCTTTTTTTTTTCTTTTTCTTTTCTTCTTCAAAAATGTTCATGTCGAATTCGCTATAAAACGACGATCTTTTTGTTTGCCGCTTTTCCGCACAATCCAAATATGGAATTGATCATACCATATATGGATTGAGCTTTCTCTACTCCAACTTCGACACTATCTTATTAGAGTAAAGCTTGATATGTATTGAAGGCTTTGTTATACCTGCCCTTTGTGTTGGTTGATTTTGGACAAGAATTGTCCTGAAAAAATCTTTATTGTGTGTAACCAATGTTACAGAGTGATTTGCAGAAGGCTACATAGTGACCTTTGCTTCGATGAATATGGAGTCATTCACGGCCCCAAGTTCTAATGTTCTAGTTTATAACTTATTACTTTAAATTTTATCTCTGTGTGTATGAGCAGTATATATAGCACATTATATGCATGTATTTCATGGTATAACGTATGTGAAAAGTTAATTGAAATGCCTAAATATTAAGATAAAAAAGAACGAAGAATATTTTGATAAAATGATGAATAAATACAGAAAAAAAATTACTGAGCTTATGAATTTTTTATGAAAGAGGGAGGATTGTTTTGCTTACTCACCAGCGAACAACAGAGCTTTCGACATCCATCAAGGAGTCTTTGTCAATGCTGTGAGTTTTGGCGCGCACCCTCGTTCTCAGAACATATAGAGCACAATTTTCACCTTTCTGAAACACAGACAACTCCAAAGCACTACATAGTTGCTCGTATTTTGGCTTCCACCATACTTTTCACCATAGATTGGCGGAAGTAGATAGCCAAGGTCCTGGTTCATTTCCTGCTTCCTCCGAAGGCCCCCAACGAAAGGATAGTAGTCGTACCCTACGATAGTATAAATTAAGCTCTAATAAATATTTATGTTTAAATATGACTAACTTAATCACCTGGACTGCGAGTATCTTCTCTAGCCATCTCTGAACGTGCAGGCTAGATGGCATACTCGCAGGCCAGGTGATTTAGAGAGTATAGGGAGACTGACTACAACTAACCAGCAAACAGCCACTAAAGTACATCAATACAGTTATTGCAAATAGTTATTTCATGTATTACATAGAGGATATTACATGGGCACGCGGAGATACGAAATTTATCTTCGAGTGTTGAAAACATCTCTCACTAGTGAGCGCAGCTGTTTATTATATAATTATCCATAAAATCAGCTTAACAAGCTTCTTATTATCATTATTATTTATTAACGAATATATAGCTTAAATACACATGGTAACGATATTTTCACGTGTGAAAATAACATGTTATTTTAAGATGTGAAAATATCAGTTTTTCGAAAAGGAGAAATATAGGTATTTTATGGATAGTTATATGATAAAAATAGTTATTTCATGTATTTGGATTTTTAGTTTTGATCTGGTCTGCAGTCTGCGTTTGTCGCACACCGTCGTGCTACTCCTTAAACTCCTTGAAAACTCCTTGAATTTAATTCACGTTTTCAAGGGCACTTGAAAAGCCCTTGATTTTACCATTTTAGCGAAACTCCTTGAAAACTCCTTGAATTTTTGCTTTGATCATATCTTGCATGGTTCTGAAATAGATCTAGTCAGAAAGATCGGAAAATCTGAAAGTCGGCCATGTGCAACCACCGTGTAAAACCTTGACATAGTTAGGTGAATATATTCCTTGAAAATTCACTTTTGGGTCCTTGTATACTCCTTGAAAAGTCCTTGAATTTTAAGTGGTTACATAAGCACGAATCCTGCTTACAGTAAAAAACTTTATCACCAAAACCCAACATACAACTATGTCATACACCAAAGCAATGAAATAGAAACAGTAACCATCGCCACGCACTACAATTTCTTTTCGATTTAACATATTTTGCAAGTCTAATTTTGCAAGGTTATCGAAATAATGGGTATTTACTTAACGCTAGAGTGCTCACACTAAACCCGTGAAACAAATACTAATTTTTAGCACTAAATAGTGATAAATAAACAATAGAAAACAAATTAAGGATTCTGTATGAAATAGTACTAATTAGTATTATTATATAATTACCAATGAAATATCTATTTTTCTCTATTTCGAAAAATTGATATCTTCACACGTGAAAATAACATGTTATTTTCACGTGTGAAAATAACACCATTGCGATGGCTATTCAAAAATACACG